GTCCCCACAAGCAGACTCCCTCCCCTCACGAGCCGCCTGCCTAGCTGGGGCCCTGGTCCTGCCTCAGCCTCCTGCCTACCACCCCCTCCGGGCCCCAACGTTCCCCATCTGCCTCTGTGAGTTGAGGCACATTCTGCATTTCTGAAATGGGGCTGGGGTCTGCAGGGCGGCCACGGCATGGCTCCTTCCTCCCCAGCCAGCAACGGGCCCGGCATTCTCAACAGCAGGGGGCGCTTTGGCTCTTCCGTAGAACCCGGGCTCTCCTCCCTGCACCCCCACACCTGCGGCCAACACACTGCGACTGAATGGGCCCTCTGTGTGCCTGCCGCTGGCTGGACCCCAGCCCACCCTGGGCGGTGGGTCTGGGTCTTGGTTGGCACCAACACCAAGGGGCCTGAAATCATGGAAAATTCGAGAATTTCCCACCTTCTTCTCCAGGTTCAGCCCCACTCAGATGCAAAGCAACTGACTGCCAGCAGGCTGGCCCCCTCCCTTGGGCTAGCTCAGTCAGCCCCCCTCTGCAGTGATGCGTCCTAGCTGGGGCCTGCCCTGGCCTGTCCGCCAGCTGACCAACCCCTAGACCACCCCAGACCCCACCTCACTCCACGCAACAGCCGCCTCCCCCAGGCCCCCGGGCCACGCTCAGAGCAGGGCACCTTCGGCCGCGGGGACTGGCCAGCCTAGGCCACAGGGTGGGCGAGGGGAAGCAGGACACGAGCAGGGGCCCATCCAGAGAGAATGAGACCGGGTGAGCCTCGTTATGGAGTGGCCTTCAGTGGGGCTGTGGCAGTCAGGGCTGCTTCCCATGGGGCCCGGGGAGAGGGGCTGGCTCGTAGATTCCTGCAGCCCCTTCACCCAGAGCCTGGGTCTCGGGGATCCTTAGCACTCTGCTGGGCTGACCAGCCCTGTCTCATGGATGCGGACACTGAGCGTGGGAAGTGGGAAGGGACTTGAACCAAGCCATCAGATGACCCCTGGTCAGCCTGCACCCTTCTTCCTCCCACAGGCCCTGTGGACACCAGGATGGTGACGAGCTGCGTCCAGCCAGAGTCAGCCTGGAGGAGCTGCATCTGCATCCCGACTCTGAGCCCCAAGATGAGCCAGGGCCAGAGCAAGCAGAGCCCATGGGCCCAGAGGAGACCGGCCGGGGCAGCCCGGGCCCAGCAGAGGCTGAGGAGGTGACGGTGGTGTCCCTCAGGGTCGGGTTGTGTCCGTCTCTGCTGCCTGCTCACTCCGTGGCCTTGTGGGACCAGAACCCAGAGAACTGGCAGTGTGCGGCCCCCATATCCTCAGGGAGGCGGGTAGGGGGTGACTCTGCATGGTTAGTCCTGCTGCAGAGAATTCCAGAACCAAAGCATGTCAGGGCTGGGAAGGACCTGAGGCCCAGGCAAGGGAGAGAGTAGGTTCCACGTGGATCAGGAGGGGTGCACAGGGGGTGCTCAGCCAGATCCCATAAGCTCAGATGTTTCCTTTCCAGCACCAGCAACGTCAGCGGCCTAGGGCGCCCAGCCCCTTGCTCTTGGAGGAGACCACCGAGCCGAGCTCGCCTCCCCTGAGCCCCAGCACCAAAGTAGGTCAAGCCCCAAGGCTGCTGCCTCTCCCCTCTCCCAGCCCCAGAAGCAGCCACATCAGCCCAAACAGGGAGCACTGCTGCTCTTTTCTGCCGTCCCCGGGCCCTGCCCTCCCCGCCACCCAGCATCCCAGAGAACACCAAAGGCAGGGGTAGAGGGTAGGCCTTGCTCGGCTTCCAAGGCTCATTCTCTGTCGCCCTGCACAGCTCATCGACAGAACCGAGTCCCTGAGCCGCTCCATCAAGAAGAGGTGTGTACCCTGATGGCTTCCCAGGCTAGGACTCGAGGTTCTCCAAGAGAGGTCGAGAGGCGGGTGGAGATGGGGGGCCTGAGAGAGCTCCCATGGGGCTCAGGGTGGTGTTACAAGCCCAGTGAGGGGACACAGGGTGTGACCCTTCTCCTACCCTCCAGTAACAGTGTGAAGAGGTCCGAGCCAGCCCTGCCCATCTCCAAGATTGATGACCGGCTGGAGCAGTACACCCAGGCCATCGAGGTATGCTTAGCCCTCCTGCTCTGATGGATCTCCACTCTGTTCATGCAGCTCTTCTCATTCACCCAACAGTCCTCCACCCAACCTACACCCCTCCATCCAGTCAACAGCCCTCCATCCAACCTATCCCCATCCACCCAACCAACACCCATCCATTCAACCAACATACCGTCATCTAACCACCACCCTCCATCCAGCCAACATCCAACCAGCCCTCCATCCAATGAACAGCCCTCCATCCAACCAGCACCCTCTATCCAACCAACATCTATCTCTCCATCCAACCAGCACCCTCCATCCAACCTACACCCTCCATCCAACCTACACCCTCCATCCAACCTACACCCTCCATCCAACCTACACCCTCCATCCAACCTACACCCTCCATCCAACCTACACCCTCCATCCAACCAACACCCTCCATCCAACCAACACCCATCCATTCAACCAACATACCTTCATCTAACCAACACCCTCCATCCAGCCAACATCCAACCAGCCCTCCATCCAATGAACAGCCCTCCATCCAACCAGCACCCTCTATCCAACCAACATCTATCTCTCCATCCAACCAGCACCCTCCATCCAACCTACACCCTCCATCCAACCTACACCCTCCATCCAACCAACATCTATCACTCCATCCAACCAACACCCTCCATCCAACCAGCACCCTCCATCCAACCTACACCCTCCATCCAACCAACACCCTCCATCCAACCTATCCCCATCCATCCAACCAACACCCATCCATTCAACCAACATACCTTCATCTAACCAACACCCTCCATCCAGCCAACATCCAACCAGCCCTCCATCCAATGAAAAGCCCTCCATCCAACCAGCACCCTCCATCCAACCTACACCCTCCATCCAACCAACATCTCACCCTCCATCCAACCAACACCCTCCATCCAACCAGCACCCTCCATCCAACCAACACCCTCCATCCAACCAACACCCTCCATCCAACCAACATCTCTCCATCCAACCAGCACCCTCCATCCAGCCAACACCCGTCCATTCATCCCATCCCCTTCCAGTCCTATGCCATGAGCAGTGTGAGGACAGCCCCAGGTCTGTCTCACGTCCCACCACATCACCTGTGCTCTACAGAACAAGGGGAGCTTCGCGAGTACACTGGATGGAGGAGCACACACCTTTTAAGAGCCTTGCTCCTGCCCTGGGAGGGGAACGCACCGCTGGGGAGATGCAGACACAGAGGATGTCATGTCCCCTGCGTGCTCCCTGGGCTCTCTGATGGGTCCCACGTGGCTCTTCACTAAAGTGGCATTGGGGTCTGTCTCCTCTGTAGACTGCTGGCCGGAACTCCAAGTTAGCTCGCCAGCCCTCCATCGAGTTGCCCAGCATGGCTGTGGCCAGCACCAAGAGCCGGTGGGAGACGGGAGAGGTGCAGGCCCAGTCTGCTGCCAAGAGCCCCTCCTGCAAGGTAGGCCCCTCCCCAGGCAAGGCCATCCTGACTGACCTCCAGGCTGGCCCTGGGCGTGGACGGCCGCGGGGAGAAGGGTGCTTGGCAGAGTGAAGGCAGAAGGTGCAACCTGCTCTGCCCTGCCCTGCCTCTCCCTGGGCTCTCAGCCCTTCTCAGGGAGCAGGTGGGCAGGAGAGAAGAGCCCAGGGCTTCGGGCCCCCAGTCGCTGTCTGCAGTGGTGATGCATCCTCCTTCTGTCCCCAGGACATCGTAGCTGGAGACATGAGCAAGAAAAGCCTCTGGGAGCAGAAAGGAGGCTCCAAGACTTCGTCGACCATTAAGGTAGAGTCTATCCGTAGTGGTGGCGGGGAGAGCAGGTCCGAGAGCAACAAGGCACCATTCTTAGTGCATCTAGGAGGGCTTCCCGGAGGCAGCCGCATCTCCCTTCTGCCATGCTCACCATTTGCTCTCGGGCTCCTTCCCCGACAGAGCACCCCATCTGGGAAGAGATACAAGTTTGTGGCCACCGGACATGGGAAGTACGAGAAGGTGCTGATGGACGAGGGCTCGGCGCCCTAAGCCTTCCCTCTCGGTGAGTCCAGGGCAGCGGCCTTAGTGGTTGAGTCATGTGTGAAGTGGGCTGTTCTGGGAACGTGGTGGCGTAGACAGGGCCTGCTGGTCCATGCCACAGGTAGCAAAGGTGCCTGTGAGGGCCAAATGCCCAGCCTCAGAACTGGCCAGAACCCAGACGCCTCTGGGTCATCCACCCCACCCCGTCTTACATCAGACCCCGTGGCCTCGGGCCTGCTCGGCCATTCTCCGAGGGGGGCCCTCACACTCCCTCTTGGGAAGAGGCCATAAGATCCCAGCGAGGCTCCTGGGCAGGTGAGGTGGCCCGGCCACTGCGAGGCTGGTGTTGCAGAAACTGATGGGATGATGAGACGGGGCCCAGCCACGACCTCCCTGGTGTCCACTGCCCTTCCCACCAGCGGCGCAGTAGACAGGTGACCCGCTGCCATGGAGTGACACACTTTTATTGGTGGCCTGGGTCCCAGGGTCCAGGTACAGCACCCATGATGTCCTGGGGTGAGTGGGGCCTCCTCCCCCACCCACTCCCCTCCTGAGTCCTCTCCAGGGGCCATGGCTAGAGGCCTCCCAAGTCCCTCTGTGTCCCTCTCCCATCCACCTCAGTGGGTCGCTCAACCTGTGGCCCTCCTCCCTCCCTCCCTGCCTCCCAGGAGACCGGGTAGGCACTAGGTGTGAGGTCAGCCTACCTCATGTGGACTTGGGCCCTTTCCTTCCTACCTAAGCCCCCTGCCCCTCCACACATGGAAACCACCTCCTCCCTGCCCCCTGCTCCTAGCCTCGTCACTCCCCCATCCTCATGCCCCTGTCCCTCCTGACAGCCCCGCCGCCCCCAGGCCCTTCCCAGGTCCATGCAGCCTCTTCACTGGCTGTGGCCCCTCCTGTCCATCGTGGTCCTAGGCCTGGGGCTGCCCCAGCCGGCCATTCACCGGAGCCTCCAGCCGGCTGCCGTGCGGTTGAAGTTCTTGGGCGGGGGGCTCAGCTCCAGGATGGAGTGGATGGTGGGAGGGGGCCGGGCGGCCACCTCCTGCAGCTTCCGGGCGTTGAAGCGCGGTCGGCACAGAAAGGGCAGGCGGCCCAGGCCGGGCGGGGCGCACACCGCATCCCCAGGCCCCGCCTGGCTGTTGTGGGACTCGGCCACCGACATGCGGTACAGAACCGCATCCCACAGCTTGGAGGCCCGGGAGGCGGGGGGCCGGGGCACCGGGTCCACGGAGGACCGAGGGGCCAAGTCCACGGGCGGTGGGAGGGCCGGGTCAGTGGGAGGCTGGGGGGCTGGGTCGGCGAGGGACTGGGGGGCTGGGTCGGTGGGGGCCGTCTTCTCCTGTTCCATCTGCTTGGGGCTCCGCTCCAGCCTCAGGAACGGGGCCTCCTCCACCTCCTCCATCAGCTGCTTCTTGAGGCGCATCCACCCACTCAGCCGGGGCTTGGGCGCAACT